GAACACCGACATGTTCACAAGTGGGCTGCATGCAAATGAAGCAGGCGGGACAAGAATTTTGATTGGTCAATATTCAGAGAATGAATATTCAGTCTTAAAGCTTTAACCCTTACGCGCCCGGCTCGTAATGCCATGTCATCCTGACTACCAGTAGTTCAAATTTGTCCTCTGTAGAGGACATTTGTGAACCTAAATATCTCCCACCCAGTGCCTCCAATCGCATTAACTCCTTTTGTTACTCTAAAGAGGACATTCAGTGCTTTCCAATGATACCAAATTTGTAGGGGTTAGAAAAAGTAAGAAAATGGCTTTTTATGGGAAGAGGAAAAGTAATACTTTTTATCGACCACATTTTGTCTTGAAATGCTGTTGGCATTTTAATTATAAGACTCTTATGAACATGTTAAAGTGTTGTTTGAGTTGTTTTAAGTGTATTTGAGCCTGTTTAAAAAATGTAGTGGGATTTCAAAAATTTCTTTTGGAGGAGTCCAATTACTTCACATAGATTGGGGAATGTCAAAATAAATGTGATTGGACAACATTTTTTTTCCTGGTAGTCAGGAGGATAAGACACCATGACTCTCCCCAATCGGCTGAAATATGACACTGTAGGTTCATAAATCGATATGCACTTTTTGGACTGTGGGGTTCCAATGTTGGTGTATACAGACAATGGAATGTTGTTTTCTTTGGCATGCTTTTTTCGAGCAAGGCAGAGCAGCTTCTTGTCCTCAGCAAACCACTTGCTGCAGAGATGAAAGTCCTCCGGATTTTCCCGGAATTCCGGGTTTTTCACATTTTTATGAAAATCTCTCCGGAGAATTGAGGAAAATTTGCCTAAAATTAATCCGGATATTAGTTGACAACATTGAACGAAGACGCGTTTGAGTTCGTTGTTTTCCTTTCACGAGCGTAGCCATGTTGAGACACGAACACTAATAACAGTAGAGATTTTCGTCTCTTTATCAACACATTTGCTAAAACCCAGTGGAACGAATAAAAGACACCGTGGACAAGACAGTTGTCGTAAAAAATACATTTGGACAAAAAGGGAAACACACAGATTGGCAGAAAAACGTGTCCGTCCAACTTCGAGTGTCGTCTCGGCTAGCTTAGCTTAGCTGTTGTTGTGTGTGACGTTGGGTGTGTGACGCCGTTGCGTCGGCGCTTATTGGTTGAAATCAAAAGACGCGCTTGCTTACGTGTTCGCGCTGACGCACGCATAGTAGAGAGCAGCAGACTCGCTCGAGTGGCTTCGCCACAACAGTAATAACCCTCGCCTCGCATTCTAATGGTCTCGCCATATCTCTGAGATTTCAAAATTTCGGCGAGAACGGAAACCACAAAGGGTGCATGAGCCCGATCACTTAACTTGATTTGCAGGCCCGAGCCCGAAGCAAACCCGAGATTTCATGTGGTGTCCCCCCCCCCCCCCCCCTCCAATAGAATTTATTTTGTGATTTCCTCTCTTGATTTTCTGTTTGGCGCATTTTATGTTTGCTTTTCTGCATGTCATTGAAGTCATCGTTGATTTACGTTTTCAGGGGGCGGTCACTGAACGACTCTCGAGCAGAAGGCACGGAGACCGAGAACGAGAAGGACGTGCCTGTACAGCAGTTGCTTGAGTTGTATGTTTTAAAAAGAACCAACACGGCAGCTCTTTTTGTTTTCTATCGTTTTGCTCTGCTGCAGAAACTGCCGTGTGACCGCAAGTGGGGCTGCACCAGCGCTACGCCGGCTAACACGCTCAGCGGCTTTGTACGTGTGACCGCTCCACAAAATTTGTTCCGGTGTAAAATATATCGCAACAAAATACATCGGTGCAGCACCGGAGCAAATGTGTGCCGTGTGAACACCCCTTTAGTCTCTTTACTGGAGATGTTGCAGTGAATACAGGGAAATAAAAACAATACAGGGTGATGTTGGTTGAGGAGGGATGATGAGGAGGGACGATGAGAGATGAAGGAGGAACGAGAAGCCTCGCGTGGTGGGATGCCTCCGAGTGGCGCGAGGGGGGAACGCCAGGGCTCTTGGGCCCCTGACGCAGCTAAATGCCCACCAGCCGCTGGGGAAGGAGGTGGGGTCTCACCGAGAAGGGATGAATCGAATTGACTGTATTTTGGGCTGAAGTGATGATGATGAATAGGAATGAGATGATTGAATGAGTTGAAATGACTGTCTTTGGGTTGAGTCTACAAATGTGATAAAATAGGAATTAACAATGTTATAACATTCGAATACAGTAATCCCTCATTTATCGCGGAGGTGACGTTCCAAAAAGAATACGTGATAAGTGAAATCCGTTAAGTAGGATTTATTTAAAAAAAGCAAAACAATGTAGGGGGGAGAAATTTCAAATGTGCTGTATGTGAAACATACAGCACATTTGACAATAAAGTTGTACTTGATACTTGATAGTCAGCTTTATTTTTTACCGTTATTATACAATACTGAACTATGTAAATCAGGGGTCCCCAACCGCTGGTCCGCAGGGCATTTGATACTGGGCCGCACAGAAAGAACTTGCCCTAATTCCGTTTTATTTATTTCCGGTCCCTGACAATATTGTCTGACATAAACCGGTTTGGGGCAAAAATCGTGGGGCAAAAAAGGTTGGGGACCCCTGATGTATACAATGCAGAGGTGATTGCTCTAAGACTGCAAGGGAAGCTCAGCTTCCCCTAAAATGTCAAAAAGTAAGTGATCAAATATATGTGTGTACGTACAATTGTGTGGACATGTCATTGACTAAATATGCGCTACAACGCGCACAACTTTTGTTCCGAATCAGCTTCTTATTACTAGTTACAACGCGACTCACTTCTCATTCATTCCCCCAGCTTCACTGTGCTTTAAACTGTGTGGACGCTGAGCGTCGACCGCACGGACGATGGGCGTCTAGAGAGTTCAGTGTAGGTTGTCCCAATGCATTGAAACGAGACGAGTCATTGGATAAATGCTGGTTTTGTCCCGCCCATCGGACGCTCAGCGTATCAACTGACACGGAAGCTCAGCTTTTCTGCATGATGATTGGGTGATCTGTCTGAGGCTGAATCTCTTTTTGATTGACAGCGAAATGAGCCAATCACCAGTCTTATGGTGAAGGCTTCCTTTTCATTTTTTGAAAAGGAACGGAGAGTAGAATTCATGTATCAATGAACAGACACATTTTATGATGTTGGCCGAAATTGAGCTTCCCTTCCTTGACAGACCAGCCTCCGCCACTGATACAATGAAACCAAAGACCAAACATTTACAAAGGTAAATTTGGCAAGCTGTACAGAGACGAGGGGCGGAGACTCTTCACTTTGGCAAGCTGTACAGAGACGAGGTGCGGAGACTCTTCACGTTGGTCAGTCCCTTAGCCAATCAGGATACAGAACATAATTCACTGTTTAAAAAAAGCATTTAAAAAAACTACACTAAAAAAATCCGTGAAACAGCGAAGCCGCGGAAGGTGAACCGCATTATAGCGAGGGATTACTGTATTCCTCGATGCAACCAAGGAATCGGATAACAATGGCGGGGTAATGGCACCATCTAGGGGCCACACGAACTAACAACACTTACACTTATGACATGAGGGCCAACACACATTTGCGAACAAATTACACCGGGTCGTCATCAGGGCGGGAAGAGCCACAGTCGTCGCACCACTAACACACAGCAGCGTGAACTTCCAACGCCTCTACATTGTCAGGTGAATCGCCGCGAACCGCGGTGGCCCGATGCTTGCGGGGTAATGTGGCAAACTTGCTCACGAACACTAGTCGCAACTGATTAAATAGGACAAGTACACCTCGTACTTACATTTTATCATGAACTCGGGGGCTTAAGATATCACAGATGATGTAAGTGGTATGAAGGAGGTTTGCAGGACAAAAGGCTGATATCGAGCAGGACGCAAAGCCGGAAACTGGCAGTTTTTTTTTTTGTTGTTTTTTTTTTAATAGAATCTTTATTCGAACAAGTC